CCCCAAAACCCCAAAACCCCAAAACCCCAAAACCCCAAAACCCCTTAGGGTTGGGAATTGTTGGAAATTGAATTTTTACACAACGAAGATAATGTAGAGCGTTGCAAAGACTATTAGGATTAGGAAGATCTTGAAGATCAAGTTCCTATAGCTTGAAACATTCTGGTAGTGTTCAGAAAGATGCTTTTTACCTCTTTCTGCATTGAGTAAGGCCATCTCAGTATCTGAATCTATTCTTTCTACCATCAGCTGTTGTGTATTAACAATCTCGCTAAATTTTGTAAATATCTCATTGATATCGGCAAGGGCTTCTTTGATGTTCTCTAAGTTTTCAGATCTGTTCTCTATCATTTCAATTTGACTAAATTTTTGGTTTCCTTCTCCTCCATGTCCAGTAACTAGACCTTCTTCCTCAATATCACCACTATCATCAAAAATTCTATTTCTTTTGGAATGATTAAAGTCCTTAAAACTAGTAACTCTCCTGTTTGAAATCTTGTTTTTATCTTCAATAAAATTGAACCTCTTCTTGGTGTTCTCTTGTTTTTCAATAACCTTCGATCTGATGGTCAGGTAGTCTTTAAATTCCTGACTCAGAGCAGCTATTTTTAAATTCAAGATCTGTAGTAGACCGTCACAATTCCTATCATCGTCCTTTGAATGGTGAGAACTCTGTAGTCCATCCTGGTAAGATTTATTTTAAGTCATTTATCTCAAAATTAATGCCTGTGATCTCATCCTTAATTTGTATAGTCATCTTATGTGATGCATCAAAGATAGAACTAGACTCTCCGTTAGCCCCTTGAGCTCGAACTAAATGCCTTAACAAATTATTGGTGTCATTGATCTTCTTAATCACTGAAATTCCTTCTGTGATATAGGAGCTTTTATAACTGGCATGGTTCCTCTCTCCAATCCTGATTTCGAGGTAATTGCCTCTTCTGTGACCGAATTTGGATGTCATTTTGAAGAATTCTGCTGTTCTATCAACCATTTTCTAAATTATTATTCAACCTGACAAGGAACTATTGGGGTTTTGGGGTTTTGGGGTTTTGGGGTTTTGGGGTTTTGGGG